AAGCAATATTCAATAAAGAGATAAAAACTGTTCCATTAAATAACAATCGATATGTTGATAAAACATGTCCATATGTATAACCAAATATGGAGTATTTTTTTATAATAATTCAAAATATATAAAAGTGCTCCTGGTATAGTCGTAGTAAGTGAGCCCAAAGTATAATAAAAAAAAGTTAACATTAAAATAAATTTCATCCCCATCCCCACATATATTATTACAGTAAGGCTCGAAATCGGTTTTGTACCAAATATAAGCTCCTGTCATTCTCAAATACCATGAATGGGGTGCCGTTGGATTCAGAATTTCACGGGGGGTTAGCGAATTGTATTCTCCACTTTTGTTTTTCTTTCTAAAATAAATAAAGTCGATACAAACATTTTGCTAGGCTTCAATATTGGAACGGTGGTAGGTCTGTAGATCGACACGGGACAAATTGGACCTTGAAGATTTTGATGCGTACACTATCGGATCCTTCGTTTTTAAGTCCCAAAACGTACTATTTTCGAAATAAAGCAAGGCATAGGGTTCGCATCCACACAACCTTACGTTAATTGTAGTACTGTTATTTTAATACAATACATGCCTCATCTCTTCGACTTAAAGCCTCTATGATCGAGAGAGGAGGAGTTTATATTATTTATCGATGGTGTTTTTGATCGGCAAGCCATATCATTGTTAATTCTTCATCAAATCTCAAGATTGAGCCACCAATTTCGAAGGATTCCTTCTCCTATAGCCGAGAAAAATAGTTCACTCACCCCGAAAATTCAGGCAAACAAATTATGAAAGAAAACAAACTTTGTTTACGAATAACTAAAAAATTACACACTTTTCCCTTGGTTGTGCCCATGATTATGTAAAAGATTACTAAATTCCCTGCAAAAGGAAAAAAAAATCATCGAAATCGGACAATTTTTAGCAAAGAATTTGTAAACGTGTTGGTTCCAAACATTAATGAAGATTTAAATTAATTTTTGTTTCATTTTTCGATTATATTTATCGATAAAGTAACAATTGATTTCTTTATCTTTTGATACGTTGCATTATTTTCTTTTCTTATTAATTTGGCATTTGAAAACAATATGCTGTGCGAATTTTTCGCACGGGCCTACTAGTAATATATTAATCCAACAAAGTATTTTTAATATAAATTTTAGATGCAACCAAGTCTTTATCACAAAATAAAATTTTGTGATTTACACGTTTACAAATTTCAATAAGCTGGATCTTTGCTAAAAATTGCCTGATTTCGATGATTTTTTTTCCTTTTGCAGGGAATTTAGTAATCTTTTACATAATCATGGGCATAACCAAGGGAAAAGTGTGTAATTTTTTAGTTATTCGCAAACAAAGTTTGTTTTCTTTCATAGCTTGTTTGCCTGAATTTTCGGGGTGAGTGGGGTATTTTTCCCGGCTGAAGGAGAAGGAAGCCTTCGAAATTGGTGGCTCAATCTTGAGATTTGGTGAAGAATTAACAATGATATGGCTTGCGATCAAAAACACCATCGATAAATAATATAAACTCCTCCACGTTTATATTTTCAATAAAATGTTTATAAAATATAATTAGGATTTTTTAAAATAAATAAAACGACATTTAATCCAGGATTTAGAACTATTCATCATCTACGAGTGTATTGGCTAAAACAGGCAGCGTCAAGATCAAGGGAAGAAACAGGAACCGGAAGCAGGAAGAAACTAATACCGACTATCCTTTGCCACTGTAAAGGTCAACTGGTTTGATTCATCTTAATCAAGTTTTTTAATCTTGAAAAACCAAACAAAATTCGTATATTATTATATTTAATCAATTAAAACTGATAATATCGATATATATAATATATCATATATCTAATATATATATGTATATATATATATATATTTATAACGAAACTATAAAAGTTCTTATAATAATAATAAATTCAAAAAAGAGAAGTGAATGGACTACTAATTTGTTGAAAATCAAGCGATTAATGCAAGATTTCAAAGGAGGGATTTAAAAAACTAACAAACATATTAATACTAATATACAGCTATTAAATATATTTAGTTTATTTTGATTTAAGGCCGGAACTAGGATTTTTCCAGGAGAGGCTAGCTTAATTTTGTCACCCCTTTCATTCAACCTCTCCCCAACCACAATTTCAGAAGTTTCATGACAGTATTTTAAATAATATATTTCAAAATAAATATAAACTCATTTTATTCAATGAATTATGGCCAAACCAATCAAAAACAGATACAAATAATTTTTACTTAAACTAAAAATACAATCTAGTTTTATATAAGTCCCTATTATCTAGTATCCATTCTGTTCTGATCACTACAATTCTATGTATTCATAAATAAGGTGTTCTTTAAATGTTATATTCTATTATCACAACAAATCCCAACACATAACATTTTTACTCCGACGCGAAAACTGCCTTCCTGTCTATCTTGACAATGAACATATTCCACAATCTGACAAAGTACATTACCTAGGCCTAACATTTGACAGAAGGATGACATGGGGCCCACACATCACTGCTAAGCAAAAGACACTAAATCATCGATTTAGACTATTATATTACCTACTGGGACGTCGCTCAAAACTAGATCTAAGACAAAAACTTAACACTTACACTTACTTACTAAAATCACTTTGGACATACGGAATTGTCAAAAAAAACTCACATTCAGAAATTACAAATATTTCAGGCCAAAACCTTCAGAACAATTACTCAAGCAACTTGGTATGTTAGTAACATAACTCTCCACAAAGACTTACACATGCAAACCGTCACAGAACATATACAAACTTATTACAAAAGGTTTCACAACAACCTCTATGGTCACCCCAATAAAAACATGCCCGATAACATCCGCAGAAGGCTGAAAAGGAGTTGGATGAGAGATCTCCTTAATTAACCACAAACATGACTGAAGATAAACCACTGAATTTTTTTCTCTCTTCCTCATGGCTATCATGCCCTTTCTCCTAGTCTATTTGTACAGTTATCTCATTCACTGGTTGTCAGTGGACATTGACAGTTGTGAATTAAAAAATAAAGAGGAAAAAAAATAAAAATTCTATTTTGAGTTACTAAATTTAAAATCATTTCATTCACATAATGTTCAGACATTTCAGAAACTATGGGAAACACAATTATTAAATTTAACTAATTTTTTTTTATTTTATTTTTTTATTTAATAATAATACAATCAGCCACTGTTGGAGGGCTATAAGTAAAATTTAACTAATAACAACGTTATTGCTAAACCAAACTATTTATTTTATTTCTCTTGATACCGAGAGCGGATGGAAAAAAACAACAAGAAATGAAAAAAATACTGGCAAAGCATTATAACTATTTATAAATTTGTTTGTCTCGGGGATGCCTATTCTCCCCCCGAGGTCGATGGCGCTAGAACCTACCCTATCCTCCTCCCAAGATATTTTATTACTCACCTTTTCTTAAAAACTGAGCAAGCTAAGGTAGAATTAGAAAAATCGTAGATCACATACAATTACTCTTGCTATGGAACATGGTATGTTCCATGTTTTCTCCCTTGTTCTTTAGACCAAAAATTCATAGCGCCGTCAAAATATGGCCCCTCAAAAATTTTGATGCCATAACTTGCGCCATGAATCCCCCTTCTGGGCACCCCCTGGTTTGTCCCATTGTGAAATGTCTAAACGCATCTTTAAGTTTCCTCTGTTTTGTTTACTATGTTTGCATTATTGCGAATACTAACTATTACTTATCATAACTCTATTTTCTAGCATCTCGGAAACTTAACTGAGAAATATTTAATAGAATTGCTTTAATAATAGAAGCAAAACCATTTTAATAGTATTTATGAAAATTGTTTATCTACACACGCAAATAGTAGTTTTAAATATCATGAGTTTAGAAACCGCATTAATAGTTCTCACACTATTCTAAATGACATAGATCATATTTTCTGATCAATATTTGCGTATTCATAATATAATTGTAGTTTTTTAATAACGAACGGAAAGGTTTCTTTATTTTGAATCGAATTCATTATGTACTCCAACTACGGGGGGAGAGACATAAAAGGATAAGTCCTCGACATTCTGATGGATGGTAGTTTTTATTACGCGAGTATATAACATCCTGTAACTAAAATATTAAAAAATCTGGTCATTTCACCAGTCACCTGACGAAAAATAGAGTATTTAAATTAATTAAAGTAAAAATTAACTACAAAAAATAGCTTGTATTTTCGGTTTTTATTGTTAAACATCAAAATTGTAGTATAAAAATTCACGACAAATAAATTGATATGCCACACAAAATTTGGAAAGTAAACTAAATGTGGAAATTGGTTAATACTATGGATTCTAAATACATAAGGAGGGAGTAATATAACTTTTTATTTGGTTAAAAAGCAGTATGAAGTGTGCAATTAGTCATGATGTACCTGAAAACTGAACTGTAACATTATCATTTTATGTAGTGAAATCGATTTTGTACTTTTGGACTACTAACTGAAGGTGGGGATTCTTATCAGTTTGTAACCTTTTTTCACTCTGTCATTGATAAAGCAAAATCCTTAACAGTTATGCTCAGTTGTTAACAGTGATGGGTCAAAAACTTTCATGATCGAGCCTTCACGTTTAAGGTGAGAAAAATAATTCATTTTAACTGGTCATCAGTGTATGAGTTTCTAAAACTAATGTTATTTATGGCATGGGAGTCAAAATAGAGACAAAATTATTTTTAGTGAAGAGGAAAAACAAACAAATGATATACATAACCTCGCACAAGAAGGTGTGTCAAAAGGCAAGGTTATAGATGTGTCACGTGATCAATCAGCTGTTCTAGTCGATATGGATGTGCTCTGTTACTGTAAGTTGTTTCGACCAATCCAAAATTATAAAACGAATTGTTTAGGGTTTACTTAGCCCAAAGCTAGTTAGTTACAAGTGTCCGGTCTCGTATAAACACTATTATTTAATTGAAATGATAGCTCTGAGCTTTCCTAGGGGTAGAAGCTTAACTTCAACGAGAAGGAAATACAATGAGTGTAGACTTGCAAGATCCTGGATATGTGAGGACGATAGAATGGGAGATGATGGACAAAACCAAGTTCTTTCCCCTTAGTATGCTTAGTTCTTTTTCTGTTAGATGCAGTTTGTACCCCTTAACATTAATAAAAACGAGACTTCAAGTCCAGAAGCATGATAGTATGTACACAGGTGAGTTTTTGTTATTATCTTGACGTGTTCAGATTATTATATATTTTCGTTTCACTAATTATTCTTTGATTTTAGGTTTGATCGATGCAGGATGCAAAATCTACAAAAAAGAAGGTTTTTCAGGATTGTACCGAGGGTTTTGGGTTAGTTCAGTTCAAATAGTGTCTGGTGTAGCCTACATTGCAACTTATGAAAGTTCAAGGCACTTCCTTAAGCAACATGATGTGTCTCCGACAGTACGAGCATTAATTAGTGGTGCAGTTGCTTCCCTTGTTGGACAAACTATTATTGTTCCATTTGATGTGATTTCACAACATCTTATGTTTTTGGGTGTTGCTGATTATCGGGATGGTGGGAAGGTGATAAACTTATATTTTATTGATATTATGACTCAAGTTTAAACATGATAGATATATGTTTTTTTCCTGACAATTATAGGTTGTACTGAGCTCCTTGGGTTTGACAATTGATCCTACAAGATCTAAATTTCGCACTACCATTGATATAGCACAAATAATTTATCAAACGGATGGATTTAAAGGATTCTACCGGGGATATTTTGCTTCAGTTTGTACATATGTTCCTAATAGTGCTCTTTGGTGGAGTTTTTACCAGCTATATCAAGGTATTTTATTAAAATATGAGTTGTTTTTTTTAAATATATAACATTATTTAATTATGAAATTCAAATTATTACACGTAATTTCTAGATGAGCTGGCCAAATTGTTTCCTTCAAATTTCTCTCATTTACTCATTCAATGTATTGCTGGAACACTAGGTGGTTTCACTACTACATTTATAACCAATCCTATGGATACTATCAGAGCCCGTCTCCAGGTGATTAAAAAATCATTAATTAGTTTATATTCCTTTTTTATTTCCTTGATTAGAATACTAATGTTGCATAACTTTAGTATAATATATGAATAAGCATTAGGTATTCTTAAAATTGTGAAACAATATTTTACTATGAATCTTGATACTTTTATAATGTAAAGAAATTTTCCATTCTATTCAGATATATTAGTTGTCATGATGATTTTGATTCAGCTTTAAAAAGTTATGCATTAGTTAATCAGTCAATTTTAACAGAAAATTATCTGTAATTGATATGAAAACCATTTTGTCACATCAGCTGATTGGATAGAATTTAAGTATTTATAGATGATTTATTATACATTTATTTTGTATTTTTTGTTTTGTTTTAATAATGTTTAGTTAACTAGAAATAAACTATTTTAATGTCTAAATGGAACTATTTATAATTTCGGTTGTAAATGGATCTTTTCATATTATGAGTCTTAATCAAAAGTAATTTAAACTCATTCTAAATGTATTTAATGAATATTGGTATTACTTTTAACTGAAATATTGTCTAACTTGAAAAAAAGGGTAATAAAAAACAGGAAGACCTGTCTGGGATTTTTTACCTGAAAAAGATAAGTGGCTCTTAGTGGAGCAATATTATAACAAAATTACATCATCTAGCACTGTCATTTAAGACTGTTTATAACTATTATTTAAAGTAAAATAAATCAATGTTTTTAAATTTTAGTACAATATATTTATTTTTGATTACAGTCTTTTGTTGAAAACTAAAAAAGCTAAGAGAAAATAGGTGTTGAATTGTTTCAGTTTTATATATATACATACATACTATATTGCATATATACTACATTAGTGTTATTATTATAAGTTCTTTATACAATTATTTTATTAAAAGTTGATCAATGAATATTTTTTAAATCAAATTAAGAAATTCTTAGTAGTATAAGACATATCACTGAATTTTTTAGGGATTTCGGAACAAATTAAACTTCAAGATCCATTTTATTGAGAAAAATGTCCACCACATTTTTAGAAAAAATGATGCTCATTCAGGAAGACAAAATTTATTGAAATTATACTATAAAAATTAAACTTTTTTTTACAATAATGGTACAATAAATTAATTTATTTTTAATTACATTTGAATAAAAGAGTAAAAATAACTTAAAATGAATATTTCTGTTTTTGAATATTTCAGTAATGCAAGTATCATTCCTTGAAAACAAGGAAGATTTTGGAAATAAATTGTTTTTATACCACTTTGTTTAATATTTGCCACCATTTTAAAAATAAATCATTGCACCTTTGGATTCAATGGGTGTTTCTCATAGGAATCGATGCTTATCTCAATTTCTAAACAAATCTGTTAGGCTTCACTTTGGAAAAATGCGACACAATTTTTTTAACTACTCTATTTTTTATCAGCTGATATGGTTACATAATCAGATTTTTCAATTGTATAGTTGTGGGAAAAAAGGTTTTTGTTTCTTTTTTAATTATCTCGTGACAGATATTAAAACTATAATTAAATTTTTAATAAAATTAGCTCAAATGGTGCTGTATTTTATTTCTGTTGCAATTTTTTTCCCAGCTAACTAAGATTCTAAGAAATTATTTGATTTGAGAAATGAGGTATAAAACTAATGGCTCAATAAAAAAATTAAAGAAAAGTAATTTTAATAAAATAATAAATATGTAATTGACATAAATTTGAACTTATATATGTAATAGAAAAATTTGTTAATTCATATACCAATGAGGTCATCATTATCGGGAGATACAGTTAGAATATAAGGTTCTTTTTATACTTTAGAGTATAAGGTTGTTCTTGGAAGTACTAGACGTAAAGGCTAAAGATATCAAAAGAGTAATATTGAGGAGAATTCTCTAACCAGTGTGTAAGAATGGTAAATTTGTGACAAAGAAAAACAGCAAACTGTCTCAACTCTATAAAAAAATCAACTCTATAAAACATATCCTTTTACATCAAAATACAAAGATTATAATGGCTCGGCCATGTTATGAAAATGAGCAACAAAAGAGTGGCAATATGGTATACATGAATGCCTCCGATGGCTATGAATCAATTCAATTAAATTATTTAAAAAATAAGTCTCATTGTTGAAGAGTAAAAATTGTTTAGTTACTAAGAAAGCAATGTATTTTTAGAAATAGGGAATGAAATCTTTTAATTACTTATGGATTTTTATTCAGCTGAGTACGTAAATATCCACACATATATTATTACAGTAAGGCTCGAAATTGGTTTTGTACCAAATATAAGCTCCTGTCATTCTCAAATATCCTGAATGGGGTACCGTTGGATTCAGAATTTTGCAGGGGGTGGTTAGCGAATCGTATTCTCCACTTTTGTTTATCTTTCTAAAATAAATAAAGTCGATACAAATATTTTGCTAGGCTTCGATACTGGAACGGTGGTAGGTCTGTAGATCGATACGGGACAAATTGGACCTTGAAAATTTTGATGCGTACAGCAAGACCCGGATAGTTCCTCTGGAACTATCAGATCCTGCGTTTTTAAGGCAAAAAACATACTATTTTCAAGATAACGCAAGGCATAGCGTTCGCATCCACACAACCTTACATTAATTGTAGTACTGTCATTGAATACATGTCTCATTTCGGCTTGAGGTTTCTATGATCGAGAGAGAAGGAGTTTATATTATTTATCGATGGTGTTTTTGATAAGCAAGCCATATCATCGTTAATTTTTCATCAAATCTCAAGATTAGACACCGATTTTGAAGGCTTCCTTCTCCTTCAGGAGGGCCAATCATCCCAAAAATTCAGGCACACAAGTTATGAAAGAAAACAAACTTTATTTGCGAATAACTGAAAAATTAAACACTTTTCCCTTGATTGTGCCCATATTTATATGAAAAATTACTAAATTCCCTACAAAAGGAAAAAAAAATCATCGAATTCGGACAATTTTTATCAAAGATATAACTTACTGAAATCTGTAAACATGTTGGTTCCAAACAAAAATGAAGATTTAAATTAATTTTTGTTTTCTTTGGCGATTATATTTATTTATAAAGTAACATTGTATTTCTTTATCTTTTGATGTGGTGCATTATTTTATTTTATTTTTAATTTGGCATTTTATAACAATATGCTGGTTTTTGTAAATTTAAAAACCTCATTTAATAGAATAATAAAAAATCAATACCAAAAATTAAAAAACATATACGAGAATAGTAATAATAGTTAACAGGTAGTTAGTTACAGCTTTATAGACATATATATTAGTTATAGACTTTCCGTTTTCCTGACTAACATGTTATTTATAACATTATTTTCTATTTAATGTCATTTGTTTAATTATCAGCATTTAAACTTATGATTTATGCATATGAAAATTTTATCAAATTTTTGAAAAAGTTTCTTATCAACTTTAATTATTTCCTTTATTTTACACTCTTTAATCTTGGTTTGGTTTTTCAGGTTCAAAGGACAAATTCTATATTAAAGACTTTCCGTTGTCTGTGGTTAGAGGAAGGTATTTGGATGTTTTCAAAAGGGTTGTCAGCACGTCTTGTTCAGTCAGTTTGCTTTAGCTTTTCTATTATCCTTGGATATGAAACAATCAAAAGGGTATCAGTACGACAAGAATACAAGGACAGAGTTAAATGGTAATAAGTATAAAAAAATATATGGTTAAGTTTGCAGAGGTTATTTAGGACATTGTTTGCAAAAGGACCAATGATTTAAATTAAATACAAAGAGGTACTTTATTTTATTTCAGGGAAATTTATTGTTTATTTTATTTATTTATTAACCTGTCAGATCTGACTGATTTTATAATTTAAAATCGGATCTAAATTCAGACGTTACTGTTTTTAATGACCGGTGCTTTTATTTGAAGGATAACTTTTGTATAAGAAGCTTATACATTATAGTAAACTTAAATAACCCAGTTATGATTAAATTATTCTATTAAATAATAATATATAAATTTATGAATTATAGTATTTTTACTATATTATCAAAAATGTATTGTCTAGTCGTGGTTGATACATTACTGTTATGGTCTCAAATCAGCATTTAGTGAAACAATTTGGATTTTTATTACCTTATTTAATATTTATTGTTAATCTGATTTCAATTAAGTTATCTAAACCTCTATTTAAAATAAATGTTAATTTTTAACTGTGAACGATGTCCAAGATCATTATTTTTATTTTAATTAAATACGTATTTTTTTTTAAATTAATGTTAGCACAATGAAAGTACTCTGTAAGTCCATTTAAGTTTTCGAGAAATAAAATATACATACAACTTAAGAAATAGAATATACTATATCCCACATTTTAAAATATTTATAACCAATACATTTTTAGTATTGTCTGAAATGTTATTACTGACTGCATTGGCTTCTATATTTTATGTAGGAAAAATACTTAACATTATTATGACTGCAACACTAGAGTCGATGTATGCAAGGGAGATTATTTGTTCCATTATTTAATATTTTTAAAAAAATGTAATGAGGTTGCATTTTTAATGGTTGTTGAAATATTCTCATTTTTTTTTTTTTTAACGACAATTTAAATATTGCTGATAAATATTTACTAACCAATTACTTGTTCTCATGCACGTTAGAACTCATTGTTGTTTGGCTTAGTATAAAATTTATTATTGCACGTTTATAACTCATTATTATTTTTAAAGAATTTTATTATTATTTATTGTTGGTATTGTGAAAATAAAAGTGCTTCCAAATTATATAATTACACAGTACCTTTATGTAATTTAAGAAAATTGTTGTGAGTAGGACTTTAAATTTTTAAATGCTAAAATTATATGAAAAAAAAAAGTCATTTAGAAAATGTTTTTATGCGTATCTACCTACATATGGTGTGACTATGAAAAATAATACGTTTTTTAGTGATTGGTTTGATTTCATTCACTAATATCCCTTCTCCTATCTACCGTTCCAAGCTATATTCTAATTCCCTGCTAAAAATATTTCGGTAGCATGCTCCTTTTCTCTGTTGACTAATTTGATCTTTTTTAATAAAACGATGTCAGTTATGCTAATTTCCTACTAATATAACTGATAATTAATATGTTAGAGATTTCCCATGTTTGGACTAAAATGTTTTACTAGTGTAATATGAGTCGGAGCTAATGCTCTTTAAATTTAGGTCAATTCTTGATAAATTATGATTTTTTTTTTCCTAATTTCAGATCTTAATTATGATTTCTATCTAAATGACGGGATACTATCTGTATTTTCAAATCTTGCTTTCAGTTCAATATAAGTCACTTTATATTGTGCTATCCAAGTTTCTATAAAAATTAATCTAATGATCTGCTTCACTTTGCTGAAAAATAATAAGTATAATTTTTGATAGTCACACCATACAAACTCATTTTGTGCACTAAATTGATTTTTTTTTCTACCATAAATACAAATGTAACCATTCTTACTTAAACTTCTTTAGCAGATCTTATTTTTACGTAGCTCTAGAAAGGCCTAGTCATAATATATTGATATGTATATAGAATAATGGCTCGAAAATAGCCATTAACATGTGATAGTGCAAACATAATGTTAATGTCTCATGCAGTTCCATCTTTTGTATTCGGTACGATTGTTAAATGTGCTCTAATAGAGTAAGAGTTATTTCTGTGAATATAATTTATTTCAGAATTTTATCTTAATATAGGTTTCATTGTTGAATATTGTTTTCTAATAAATAATGTATATATTACTTTAATGTAGATTTAGTTAATTTTCAAAAGTATTTTATTTTATGAATTTTTTTGTTTTGATAATTTTTATAAATACAAGTTGATTTTATTGAACCAAATATAAAATTTTAGTAGTATTGTAAATTAAAACAACAAATGTAATATAGTTGAGTTTAATTTATATAAAAATATAAAATTGTTACAGTAAAATGTAGCCTAGTACCATGTTTTAATATCCCTTTTCGATACGTTCGTTCTAAATTTTATTCCTAAAGCTAATTGGTATTGTCTGAGTAATTGTAGAAAATACATATTGGAAAGTTATTTATCATTTTCCTTGGGAAATATCAAATTTGTATGCAAGTTTTAATATATAATTATGAATGTAATTGAATATGAGTTGGAAGTGACAAGTCACTGCAATATGAATATGACATTATGGGTCTATTATATGGTTATTATTTATGATCTCCAGATTACCAATCTTTAGATCTCACAAAGATGCTTTAAAAAATGCAAAAATTGCAAAGTAATATTGATGATATTAACTCATTGTTAATGTACAAAATTTATGCCAAATGTTGAAAAAAAACCAAGGCCATCCTTCCTCATTAGTTCCATACACCTTAATTGAATTTCTTACTATCTCTTAGTCAACTTCAGCGGCCTACCTGTTCATTCCCATACCTCTGTTACAAACCTTAGAGTAAATTTTGATAACAGCTGTTTTAGAATAATAATGTTTTCTTAATCAACTTGAAAACTCATTACTGTCCTTAAAGAGTTCCCAAGATTTTATAATTCTATGCTCTCTAAAACCCAAGGGTTCCCAAGCTCTTCAAGTGATAAATAATGTACATAACATTGAGATTGCACTTTTTAAATAATAAAAAAAGATTTATATTTAGTTAAAAACTTGAAATAACAGTAGAGCTCAGAAGTGAGGAGAGGACTAAGGGGGTGGTTTGATACCACTGTAGTGTGAATTATACAACTACCAAACATAATACTCTTAAAACATTCCTCTGCTCTACTTTATAAAAGCTAATAGACTGTTAAACTAGATATTTTTATTCATAAACAACACAGGTTTTGCAAGACTATTTGTACTAAGGGAACGTCAAAACGTGTACATACACATTCCATACATAGATAAGTGAGGAGATGATGGCCGAGCGCTTCAAAGCTGAACTTTTAATATTTTCAAGTCAAATTAAACCGGTTCAAAAACGGCCTAGACAGGTTAAAATTAATTTCATTAAGATGGAATGAATTTCCACCTTCCCACTCTAGTTAGAATAGGTTTGGTTGTGCCTCTAGAACAACCCCCCATATTTCAAAAATGGTGAGGTAGGAGTATCAATTAATAAAAAAAAAAAAAAAAGATAAGTAAAAAAAAGCAAATAACTGGAAATATAAAAGATCGACTACTCTTAATGCATAATTATATAAATGAATAAGGTGAACTAATTACAATAATGACAAAAAGCATTAACTCTATTCTGCTATTAATTATTTTTTACTAGGTAAACATTTTTTTAATATTAAATATCTTATTAATATTAATTGTCATATCAAAGACCGATTTATGATGTCTTTTTTTAAAAAGTTGAAAAAAAGCCAATTTTCTGTAACAGCTTCAATTGAAACCAATTGTAATGATTTTTTTTTTTCATGATTCAACTTGAACATTATTAATTAATATCATCAGAAACAGTTTGAGTTGAACCTATTAAACAAAAATAGATTTTTCTCTTACATTCTGAAACTGACTTATGTCCATCTTTGAAATGAAGTAACTCATATGATCTTATATAATAATGCACATAGAATAATTTATATTAACTTTATTTTATTTATTATTTTTAATGATAGTTTAGTTATCTATATAAATAAAACAAAGATTTTGTCTGTACATTGAATAGAATCAACCCGTTTTATGATATCTGTTCGTTTCATACATTGCAGACAAAAAATCCAAAATTTTGTTTGTCTTTATGTCTGCATTGTCCAAATGAAATTTTGTAAGGGGTAAGCTCAGCAACGGCTAATGGTAGACTTTTGATATGTTGACATTATATTAAGGTTTGCTTGACTTAAAATATAGGTTTTTAATGAAAACAAAATATTGAGTAGAACCAAAGTTATGAAATCTTCAGTAATTTGACTTGATCCTGGTTAGGCAGTTACTTACTTCGATTCGCATCAGTATATATACTATCGCGAGCGACATTTAAAAGTTGTACTATTCAACTGATGGAAAAAATTATCACAACTCAATGGGAAAAATCCGGAATACTGAACATCTGTAACGCGCTGTCTCATAAAACGGGTAAAACACACTCATTTTTCAGCTTTGTTCTTCCCGTTCAAAGTGTCATTCGATTCAACTTACAGAGCCTAACAAATGTTGTCATATACATTTTTAGGATTGAACTAATGGATTAGCTGGAAATCAGGAAAAAAAACTCCAAAAATTTCACCCCGCCCACCATAATATTCAGATCAAGTTCTAATTTTACACGGATGTGGTGACTCAATGTCCAATGTTATTTTGCCAGCGATAAACTCAGCAGAGTCTAAAGAAGTGGAGTGACTACAACTCTTTTTGATTAATTAATATACTCCATAATCTCCTTGCTTCATCATAAATGAAAATTAAACACATAACCAATTTTAATGGATTGGTGGTGGTCAGTTTAGTTGTGTGGTACCTAAACAAATAGTCGAATAATAAAGTTTTTGTTATGACTATTGCGAAACCTTGACTTCCATAAGCCTCTGCCATACAAAATTTCAAAACAACCTCCCTCCTCCATACCCAATATTATGAAATTGAATTTGGACTCTTTCTCCCATAATACAAAATCCATCAATCAAATCATCAAAAAAAGATTCTCAAATTTTAACTATACACCCGTCAATGATGGGTACAACTGCTAGTGATTTATAAAATAATGTATATTTTACAGCTTTTTTTATTTTGTCAATTATTTTAATATGAAAAAAAAAAACTCCACATTAACTGATATGATAATCTAGGAAAAACTTTAAAAATACTAAATGAGACATGCAATTGTTGCTTTACGTTGGTTTGTTTTGTAATTAATAATACAACAAGCATGAAAACGTTTTGTATCTATTAACTTAATGTTTTTTTGGTTTGTTTTTTTACCACTTTCATAGTTATTAATGTTTTCTAATTCTTAATAAGGAGTGTTATCAGAAAGATCATTAACGATAAACCACTAAAATATAAAAAATTAAGAGGAAATGGACCCAAGATTTTCCCATAAACCTTCCAGATATATATATATATACTCAAAGAAGACTTGACTTTAAATGCCACTTTATTTTGTAAAATACCAGTTTGTTTTAAAATTTTTAGGTTGATTTTCAGGAATAGTATATTGAGCTGAACCTATTTTTAAGTTTCATTCTACTAAACATATTTCTTACTACCATAACAACCTCGTATGAATATAATCCAGGTTGATTTTTAAATATTAAAATAATTAATATAAACTCATCAATAGTTGTTTTTAATCTTTTAACCATAAAATCTGTTGTAAATTCAAAAAATATATACCTGGAAAATTTGTACATTATATTGAAAAAAGTATTACAAATGAAATGAAATAATAACAATAATTCTGATCATTTTAAACTGCTCTAAAAAAAAAAAAAAAAATGTAATTATCAAGTTTTCCTAACACTAGCCAATCCATCTTGAATATTATTTCTAATAGAACCACCATTTAAACCTACGTATTTTGTTATATTTTCTGTCAGTAGAAAAAAACTTAGTATATGTAATAACAATTGCCCTATTTTTAAATCTGCATTACATGTTATATGTGATACAAGTAATTGCATTATAACAAACAGTGAAAAACTGTTCAGAATCTTACAATTACATTTTTGTAATTGTTCAAACATACATATGAAACTTTGAATTGTTAATTACCAACTTCTTCAGATTCTGTTTGGAGGTATGATTATATATTTATATGACCATCTTTCTTTGAGTATTTGCCTGTTTGTGAGTACTTAGTGCATAAATAAATAAATTGGTTTTGAGGATTGAAGGATTTGTTATATTAATTTCAATAACACATGGAGTTAGTAAAAGATGTATAAATTTACTATTTACATTTTTTGTGTATTATTACATTTTAAAAGAATGTATATTTAAAAAATTACTTTAAAAACAATAGTACGCTAACAAAAATAAAACTAAGATTAAAATCTTAAAGTTGTTAAGTCACTGATCTAGTCTGAAACATAAACTATGTCTCCACACTTAACTTTTCCGCCCTGGTAAAGTCCTGCATTTAAACCTAATACTGGAGTATGCGGATCAATCCTGTCCTCACCAAGCATCTTCATTGTTCTATACCTTAAAATAACATTAATATATAGAGAAAATCGACATATTTAACTCACTAGATTTTAAATTAAAAATTCAAAGTTCATATGACAAGAACGGTAATTTTCTAAACAACTTACAAAACCTTTTTGTCTTCAAATATATGCCATGTACCAATGTGAGCCTTGAATGGTCTTGGATTCAATATAAGGGGTGAATATACTATTTCTTGACAATATTGAAAATATAATCAGTACTTAATATACTTCTGAACATGCCGAACAGCTAATTTTTTTGTAAACATATAAAGAGTCGTTACTCTTTACAAATGTTGGATTACCCAATTTCTGAATCGGTCTATGACTTATATAACAGAATAAATAAGTTTTCTGCCATAGACTAGAACCCAGACCTGATAGTTAAAACTAAAGGACCTTACACTCTGAAGTTATCCCAAAATTGAGAATAATGATATTCAATTGAAAAGAAAAACTGATGTGCGCATCACACAACTTTCACGTACCGCTCTACTTTGAATAGAAATTATTTTCTGGCAATGTTGGGCTATTACCAAGTTTTTGAAGTGAATTTTTAACAGAGCTAAAGCTTAACCCTTATAGCTGACAAAAAATTAAGACCGTTAAAATAACCAAAACCCTATTTATTACACAAATGTACACAGGTGGGTAATGAAAACCTCGTAACTGCATCTGTTTTTGTAAACCACAGAATCCAGATTTAACCTATAAATGATTATAGATTGTACTACTTTATTAGATTCCATTTTTTCATTGTAAAATTTATTAAAATGGAGTTATTGATAGGTCAAAAGTTGTCACACAAATTGTAACTGAATAATATTGTGATTTGACAGAGGGAAAATTAATCAGATTATTCACTAACTTAATTTTCTAGAATGTTACAAGATAATTTTTTTAAACAAACCGATGATAGATACCTAATTATTTAAATGTAATATCGTTTCTGGTGTTATTAAATTACCTACCATAAATTTATTTTAAGATTTTTAAACATATGTTTTACATAACGATAAAAATATTTTTATTTCACTTATTTTAAACTAGTACAATGAAATAGTTTTCTGAACAATGTCATTGCCTTGATTCGGTGCATTTTATATACTTTATTATATTTTAACTTCAAAATAATTTTTAAAGTTTACTTTTAGTTAGGAAATTTCATTTAATTTCTTGGAAATATGTGGTTTCTGTTAAATAATATTAGTTTTCAGAAATTATTATTTATAATTTTTTCATCACTGCATTACTTTCTACGACTTTGTGTGCTCGATTTTTTTTTTTCTAATATTCTCTATTTTCCAACAATATATTATACTATTATTTCTGAAAATAAATTTTTGACCTATATAAACATTTTTCCTTTATTTTCTTTTAGTTGACTATCAGGTCCAAAGATTATATTTAACCTTTTTGTTATTACTGCTAACAATATAGATATGAATACAATAAATATTTTTGTAGTATGTAATTGTATTCTGTAGATCCTATTTTGTATTAGATGACTTAAAACTACTAATGTGATTTCATGGATCCTTCTTGCTATGAAGTAATTTCCAAGAATTTTTCCTATCCTTCCACAAACTTTTTTAATTATTCTTGGTTTCTCATCTGCCATTTCCATCGATAGGTGATCTACGGTTTTAACATATGGAGATTATGGAGGGAAAATCAGGCATCGCGTTATATAAAAAAAAAAAGTGATTCCTAAGTTTTAAGGCAGTAAGTCTAGAATTGTTGCCTTTGTGAAAGACAAATGATTCTTCCAATCCTAACTTCTTCACACTTCCTTTTAAAGTTTTCCAAAATATATTAATACATACATTATTTCTAGAATTCGATTATATTTTTACATGCGTCGAAATCCAATGTTCAGCCAAAAGAGTGTCAAAGATGATTCAAAAGTTCGAAGATCAGCTGAAAGTGAGGCTTAAAAATAATGAATCGATGAAAATGAAAAATTTAAAGCTCACCATCAACCATACAGAAAATTATTAGTAGTCCAACAGAGATTTTGTGTTCTACAGGTGTTTGAGTACAAATGAATAGGTAAGTTTCATATAACTAATTGGTATTATAGATCAATAGGCCTATGTTAAAACATTAAGGGAAAATGTAAAAGAAAATGCAAATAAGTTAGGGTTGGAAGGAACATTTGTCTTTCAACAAGACAAGCAACCCTAAATAAAGTACCTTAAAACTCAGAAATATATAACACATCCTACCATCTGAAAACCTCTCAGACATTTTCCTTCTTAAATCTCATATAGCAGAGTGTGTAGTTTAAATAACATTCTTAGCCACCATGACGGTTACTTTTTTGTACTACTTTCATTGAGCATAGAAAGTAGTCGTGTTCAACTAAAGTATTAAAATTATAACTGCTTATAATACTATACTTACTTTCTCAATGTACTGAGAGGTTCAATATTTTCATTTTTTTCACCAGTATCACAATCTATTGTAGTAAAAACACACCTGTGAACAAATCAATATAAATATTAATAATTTTGTATTTATAGTTCAAATATTAAATGGTTTAATTCTACAAAATGTTTGAATTTGGTTATATTATTTCTTCAGAATGCTCAAAATCAGTAACATTATTATGAGAAATGTCTATTTAAAAATATAATTTGTTGGTAAAAATAGGAAAAAAGCAAATTTTATGTTAACAATCTAATTATATTTTTAACATAATATGCATATTATGACATCTTACGTTACACAGAACACAGCTGACTTGATTGAAAGCATCAACAAATTCTTGAGAAATATTTATTATTAATTATAAAGCATTCTTCATATGAGAGCTTTTGTTATCGATATAAATGTTACAAAGGAAATAAAAACTAGTTTTATCAATAACAACTTACAATGATATACTGAATATCTAATTGATATTATCAAAAGTATATTTTTATTTTTTATTGTTATATGATATCATTATTAAATATTATCATTTTATATTAATGAGTTTGTAGAGTGAACATTAAAGAGAGCAGGTTTGTTTATTATCTTGAATAATTTGCACATATTTGCTGCCTGTTATTTATTCGTATTTTGTGTAGAATTGTAAATAATTTTTTTAATATTTACTTATCACACTATTATGTAAGATCACAACTCATTTTTTGGTAACCACTGGTCACAAAAACTACAAACTCTTTTATCTTTACCAAATTTTAACTATATCATCCCCATAGCCAGAAATGTTCAGTGATATCAAAATCTTATCCTTTTTTTTTACAAAGGTAATCATAAACCTCAATCAATATGAAATACTGTAAAATCGATCTAGCACAGTTTTTCATAAATATTTTTTGAATATTCAATAGTTGACCGTTCCATTATAAAGGAAGAAAATGGTCCGGGGTGGCGGTCATAAATAGGCTAAATAGTGGTAAAACTATTTTTATTAAAAGTCGATGTTTCGACCCAACTTTGCAGGTCTTCTTCAGGGAGGTGTGTTGACCTAGGAATTTCACTTAAAACTGAGTGAACAGATTAAGAGCTGTGCAATATCGAAATTGCAAAAAGTAAGTTTTTCTATATAGTTTCGGAGTTTAATCATTAAGTTATAATTGCTCTAGCCTTTGAATGATTGAAAATAAGATAGTAAAGTAATACATATTTTTAACAAAATTTAATATTAAACAACTTTCTTTCTCATGACTTATTCATAAAATGAAAAGATAAAGTGTTGGCAAGTCAAATAATGATAAAAATGTGAAGCAAATTTTTTTTTCTTTGAATTTTGTGAAATACGAGGATGAATATCATGGAAACTATACAATATAGCAAAAAAACTAATATAATCATTTCTATTGCAAATTTTGTCAGCTTTAATTTCACATTTGACATTATTATAGATAGAACGCATAGATTCACTGACATAAGTAAAAAACCAAAAAAGTAAAATTTTTGAATCGTAAATTCAATTTTGCGATTTGATATCCATGGGTATGGGGTAACTGACTATTATTCATGTCTTAAGACTGTAAATACTATAAATTAACAGGATTGGTAGCTTTATATATATAAGCTTACAACCTATGTAGGGTCTCTATCTATCTTCACATGACCGCCATTTTGTATTCCAGTGGCTCTATGCTCACAGACGTGCATTTTTCTCATTAGGCCTGTGGATATGGTCAATTTATAAGGATAAACCTTCGTATGAAATATGACACTTTTTTTGCCATGGGCTCCGGGAGTAACACCTTTTGGAATAAAAATAAAATATTTAATAGATACCTACATTCAGAAAATTTTCAAAATATGGTTTTCTCAAAAGTATTTACTCTTTTATATAATAGTACCTAATAACAGGTAACTTTTTAATAAGCAATTTTTTTTTGTTTTGTTTTTCAAGATTTATAAACCATCATAAAAAATTATTAATGAAGTTTTATAAAGAGAAAGAGTATCTATTGCTAATGAATATAAATATAATAAAAGGATTTTTTTTCATTAAATAGAAAATTATATGAACATTGGGTTATATATATTCTAAGATTAAATTATTCATGGATTCACCAAAAGCGGTACTTCAATATACTGAGACTAAAAAAATATATATCGTCAGTTTCCAATTTTATTCTGGCACTCACTTTGTCCCAGGAAGTTTGATCCAATATTGACAGGAGGAGAGTCAAAGATCCCTAATTCTGTATCATTCATAAAATTGTAAATGGGCTAATTTAAGAAAAATAATTTAATGTTTAAAAAAATAGATTAACCTTGTGCATGGCCGAAATCGTTCAAATACTGCGTCTCCAATTTTAATCCAATGCCAATTGTCTTCTTCATATGCTTTAGGTCCTTCAATGACAAAATTTGGCCTGAAATTTAGAATTTTTGCTTTGTTCCCATCAGTTAGTCTTGTGTTTAAGTCTTCAAAAGAAGCCTTATTTACCATGTTGTAACTACTCAGATCGGAATAAGCACCCTGGAAATGATTGAAATTAAAAAAAAAAAATCAATAATTTTACTTTAAATACAATTATTTTTAATTAACAATAATTCAATTTTATAACCCAGCTTGAAATAAAAAGTTTAGTTATTTTTTCAGGATGGTTGCAACTGCATGGTGGGTAGGGAAGAAATGGAACCATTGATGTTAGAAAAAGTTTTTCTTTGGAATAGTTTCTCTTGATGGTTTCAAGTCCAACAAACTTGGCCCATAAGGCCTTATTGTCTATGTTGGCTACAGACTTAAATGCAAGGCTGGTTGGATGTGTTTAAACAATAGTAAAAAACTGGATAGTAAACAGTAAAATGGATGATTAATCATCTTTTAATTTCAGGTTAAAAAATAGATAGATAGTATGAAGATAAATTAATATCTTTGATAATGGATATATATATACTAAAAAATTTCATTATTAAAGTGTTTTTGGAGGTATGATGGTTCTGATAAAAAAATTCAAAATCATCATAGAAAGAAGAACTAATATTAACCTCCAAGAACAAAAAAGAAGAAACCATTAAAAGATTTTCAACAGTGTCATAATTTTTTAACTCTGCATAATAGAAAATTGTTCAAAATCTTTGAAAAAAGGCATTTGTCCTTAACTTGCCGCTTTAACTTTAAAGTTTTGGGACGGTAATGACCCTGGTGGTTGATGGCTTTAAATAAACAAAAGTTTTGGAAGTTTTGTAAAGCAAAACTGAAAGAGCAATTATAGGCAAATGGAATATAGGAACGATACTAGCACAAGCTCTCATATAGGCAGACTATATTGTTCTCATAGCAGAATCAGCACCACCATTACAGCAAGCAATCGTGAAATGGGAACCTGATTGATGGGAGATTGAAAGGAAAGGAATGGAAAAATAAAATCATGCATATAAGTCGACAAGTTGAAGACAGAAATAAACTATAAGGGTAAGTCTCTAGAGTTGGTATAGAAATATATGTACCTCGGGACAGTTGTAAAATATATCAACAGGTATCAAAAGAAATAAAAAAAGCAAATGGTATCTATTACCAGTTCTGAAACACAGTCATAAAGTAAAGTAGTCGAACATATGGCCAAAATAAATATGTATAACATGAACATGGTAGTGATAGCTGGGTCCCACTAGATAACCATAAAAGAAGACTAATCGCAGCTGAAATGAAAAACCTAAGGAAAATAGATGGCTGAACTGATTAACTTTGTAACTATGGATGAGAAAAGATTTCAAGGTGCCACCAATGTTGGGAACCATGGAAAAGAAAATGCTCAAATGCTTCAATTAAGTTATAAGGATGAATAGAGAAAGAGAACTTAGAAAATTTCTTGAGGGAAGATCCACAGAAAAGAAGTGAACCCCAGAAAATATGAATGGATGAAATAGCAACAAAAGGGACAGAAAAGAGGCAAGAGTTCTATGAGCATGCTGATGATGGACCATGAAGACTGGCTTAAATGGGTAGAGGTCCCTCCATGCTGAAAGGCACAAAGGAGGAAGGAAAAGAAGAAGAGTTTTGCAAAGCCAATTTAGTAATTGACAATAACTAATCTAATAGGAGAATTATACCACACCTAAATTTTACTCCCCAAAATGAAATAAATAATTTTTTTCAAACTGGTGTACTTGGTAACGGCCTGCTTGCCTTTGATGACAGCCAATAAATTATTTCATTATATTAACATTCTTAAAACTAACATATCTAACATTTTAGAGATTGAAGGGTTTGTGTTTGGAATTTTACAATTATATTATAGAGAAGACTGGGGCTAAAAAGTTCCTGAGGTTAGTTGTTCCGAATGAGATAGCTCCAAAACGAAGAGATAAATATAAGTCTTATAGTATAACTTAATTCATAAACGTCCTGTGATTCTTATAATACTAATTACAATCTAAACTATGTTATATGTTCCTAATTATAAAGACCGATTAGAATTATCTGAATTATTTGACTGAATACTGTTTATAAAGATATTGTTTTAACCATTAAACAAATGAGTGTATATATTCAAAGCTTTTAATTTTTTTTTTATCATTTATAATCCAGAGAGTTAGTAACAACAACTTACCCCAGCTTGGGGTGTTGTTACTTTTTGTTTTCCTGTATACTAACTTTCATATAAAAATATTCATTAAAGGTACACCCAAAACTCTTTTAGAGTTATAAAGAATATATGAACAAATTATAAGCTAGCATAATTTTGTTAATAGGTCATTTTCTAAATAATAGTTGGGTTGTTTAAAAATCAGCTCTTTTAGCCCTTCTTTCCCCTAATGATTAATTTACATCTCTTTTTAGTTATCTCATTTTATATTAATAAATCAATTTGAGTTCTACCAATGGGTAGTTTCTCTTCATGTTGTACATGAATGTCACATTTACTTGTTGTATTTTTAATGTAATACAGTTGTAAATTTCATTAAAATAAAAAAATAAATATTAATAAATCTGTAACACAAAAAAATTAACTCATCAGTTCATTATGGAAACTTAAGAACCTTAAACAACAGTGTATTCTCATCTAAGAAATTTTTAATAGAACACAAACTGTATAATCAGTAATAGTAATAATAAGTATCATACTGTATACTTGTTGTTCGTGTTTTTGAAGACTTCAAACTCCAGTTTACGGTAGGAAATGTCTCTTCTCCAACCTTCATCCACTGGAAAGTAGCCAAGTCTGAATTCGCTGTCCTCTCCACCAACTGCATCTGAGACCCACTTAGCAACTTCATCACCACAGTCATTGATACGTATCTTCTCATTTTTCCACATCCTAAAAAACAGTGACAAATTAGTAGATAATGACATGTAAATTAATTTGATGATGAAATTAGCATTTTTTTTTTTTTATTATTGTATTTAAGTGAATGATATAAATATAAGAACTAACTAATACATGCAAGACATACGTAATCATTTTATCATCAGGTTTATCTGGCAAAATGATTTCTATGTTCTTTTTTTTAGGATATGAAAAGATCACGGTCCTGTCATCCTTTGGCTCAAAGTTCATCGGCAGCATTTTTGGATTGACCTTGCCACTCAAAAAAGCCATTGTTTTGGAATTGTACACAACAAAAACTCTGTAAATAAAACAAACGTGCAAAAATAATTCATTCATGAAAAATGTAAAATATATGGTTTGTATGTAGTAGATATTTGAATTTGTAATTATTTCCAATAGAACAGTACTAAAAATATAGTTTGATAGTAATGGTATACCTTCATTGTAAATTTTTAGTACCTTGTATTTATATAGCTACTGTGATGTTTATACTTTGTCAGTTATCCATCCTTTTTACTTAGAAAGATATCCAGATACTGTTAAGCTAGCAAAATAAGGAAGTGATGTTCCAATCACGAAAACCAAAATTAATGTTGGGTACTGCTTTACAAGCGCAGCTCCAATAAGAATTGAATCCCGAGAATAACCAAATGTGACCGAACCTTATGGGAATATCCAGACCACAACTGAAAAGGAATTGTAGGTGGTTTGCTTATTTCTTTTTGGGGAGCAGAAGTTGAAATTAGCTATGTAATCAAAGCTATTTGAGACCCCAATTTTAACTGAAAAGGACCAGTTGGGAGTTTGTGAGTCATAAATTATGATCTAAATAAATGAATAGTTATGTATTCAGCCATTCTCCAAATTTTAGTTATAGTGTGATCTTAAGATTTTGTTCCCGTCCATCAAAGTGGAGAAACATCTGTAAAATAGTACCTAAAGTAGTAAAGAATCGTACTTGGAAGATTGAGTATATTAATTATATTTGGTATAGACCCAAAAATCTTGACATACAGAGAACTTAAGTTTAAGATTTTCTTTTGATTATGTTTTATAATATAACATTTTTACACAACCTTGGATTATACATAAGAACATTCACCTTACATAAAATTTAAAAAGGTTTGGAAACAGACAAGACATCAAAATAAAGTTAAAAACCTGTGATAGTTGGATAATATAATAAATACTTGGAAGCCAATGAAATGTCAGATCAATAAGTCTTGTAATTAACTATAAAAAAAAATCTACATTTTTTTCAAGTTTGTTGAATTGTATTACACATATTTTTATAATACCAATTTTAGATAACTTGACATTCATACAAAACAAATAAATCTCTCTTTATGTGGCAACTTAGCCTTAAAGAATTTTCATGAAATTAACTTATATTTTTATTATTGGATTATAAATGTGAGGTTTACCATGTTTGACTCGAGAGACTTTAAAAAAAGAAATCAACTTTATTCTAGTCTAAAATAAACTACCTGTCTCTTAGTGGAAGTTTTCCATTACCAACATTAAAACTTAATCCGATGGGCGTACATACTGCTTCATCAATTTCTTTATACCTTCCAGACTTTATGGGGTAAATATATATTTTTGAGAGGTTCCCAACAGCACGCCATTTTTTTCGCCTAGACAAAATCCAGGATAAACCAAGACCTGTTGCGACAATTAATCCTAATCCGATGATTGTAGACAAATTTGAAGACATTTCTCTGTAAATGAACAAAAAGTGTAAATTTAAATTCAGATTTTACAATTAGCACACTGGTATAAATATATAGAATATCTCAAAATTTAATTAATCTAAAAGGAGCACCCTTCACTTTTTCAAAAATGTTGCATCATTTGTATACCTCAATCAACAAAAATTCAAATGACAAGTAAATCTTTATTGAATTCCTTATAAATTTAGTGATGTTCAACCAATTCAGCCTAAATGCTGTTTTACTAAATATGACTATTGAAATCTTATGCAACTATATAATTATGTTGTGCTAGGTAAGTATTTACATGAGATATAGTGTTGACCGTGTAATATCTTATAAATAAGATAAACTAATAATATTTAAGATACACCAGGGAACTCATTGCCAACACCGGTGATAATAACTTGTTTGAGGTTTACTGAGTTCAAGGTTAGATAAGACAAAGAAAGAGTATACTCTTTCGGAGAATTACTATATTTTTATTACCTTTTAGTATATTTCCATCAAGTCAATCAATGTAATACCATTAAAATTTCATATTTATTAAATAATAATAGAATAATATGTATTGCACGACGCGTTTCAGAGCAAAGTGATCTAAGAGCCAAAATATTCAAATTTCATTTTCACTACCCAAGTTCGAGAAGCTTTTTATCCATGCAAGAAGTGAAATTTTGTCTTCAGAATCGAAAATTTAAACTATTATTTTGAACATAAAGCAAATTGATTAAATGTAATTTGACGACATTTCTATCCATTCATCATATTCAACGTAATTTCTATGCAACTTAAAAATGGGTACATATTGTAGTAATTTTTTAAGCGATTCGAAAAGGTTTAAATGGTAAAATTTTAATAAGTATCTTCAAAAGTTGACCATTTTATGTGGCGCAAAATTCGATGTTTTTATTAAATTTGGTTACTCAATTACAATGCTATTTATCTTATCTTTTAAATATTATGTAATAAGAACAATGTATTCAGAATGCTTTAAAACGATTCACGATGACCAGTCTTATTACGTAATTTATTTTCGGATTTAAAATTTTCATTTTTTATATATTTTCATAAATTCAAAAATTACAAAAATGTATTTAACTTCATTGAAAAGGTGGCATTGAAAATTTGTAGTAAGGTATTATTTGAATGTGACTTTCAAAAATGTCATCCTATCTCAGCCCACTTTAGAAGTTATTAATATTTGAATATAATTAATTATTTTAGTGTTTGTAAAATATATATAGGATTTGTTTTTGGTTCTATAAGATTGATTGTATTTATGTTATGTTATAATAAAATGTATTATTGTTATTGAAATATTAAGTAGGAAGAAACCGCTTGATTGTTTTTATTAAAAAGATATATCTGCTTGTTAAACCATGATGTATGAGATTAAAGCAATTGAATTGAATTAAAAGAAATCATGCTGCATTATTAAGACATCAGGATTTTTTTTCTATACCTTTAAATATAGTTTTTCTTAAGTATGTCACATATAATAGAAATCGACTAACTATGCTCAGGATAAGATGAATTTATATGAAATAGATAACTAGAGTATTTTTATTTATGTATGTGTTTACAAATATTGAGATTGCGGGGAATTTCGTTTCAAGTTAATCAATGTTTTTGTTTTCATTTATATTTAATTGATATAAAATTGATTTAGGTTGGGATAGGAACTAGAAAAAAAAGGAAAATAATTAATAAAATTTAAGAAACAATATTTCACATTTCTCTTACCACCAAACATACTTTACCATTAAATTCTGCGCAACAAATTACATAGAGTGTTAACAGCTTTTAAATTATTTTATATATTTATTTTTTATTTTATTGAAATTCACAACTGTATTACATGGAAAATACAATAAGTAAATGTGATATTGGTAACATGACATGTACAACATGAAGAGAAACTACCCATTGGTAGAACTTAAATTAAACTTCTATATTAGAAGGTCCCGAGGCCATCTTCTTTTCAGACGCCTCGGAGGGTTATCGCCTCGGAGGGAAAGGGGAAGCAAGGTTTGAAACGAGAGGATTCGGATGGTTCTGCAGTTTGTTATGGAAGGATAGGTATCTGGATTGGGCCAAATCGGAAACATATGGAACATTAAAGTCTTTATGGATGATTTTATTTGTGACAAAGTAAGGAGCGTTGAGGATTTTACGAAGGATTTTGAATTATAAGGATTGGATACGAGAGGAATTCGATGGTTTAGTGGAGCCCCATAGCTCAATTCCGTAATTCCAAAAGGTCTTACTACTGTCATATATATATATGAGTCGTTTGTGATATATTGAAAGCTTAGAGCGTTTGTCTAGTAAGTGCTACAGTAGTCGAAAACGTCGGGCGGTTTCTAGTCGTTTCAGACTGGTATGGGGGTTTTAAGTGAGTCGTTTTTCTAGGTGGAGTCCTAAATATCAGATTTGATCGACAGCGATAAGAGGGCTATTGTTGAAGGATACTGTAGGACATGAATTCATAGGTTTGCAGCGAAGAGTGAAGATAATTTGATGGGATTTATTGGAATTTATTTTAATCCTCCAGTTTTGACACCATTTTTCAAGACTTTTGATGTGTGATTGAAGAGTTTGGGATGCAATAGAAGTATCGTTATTAACTGATAGGATATACGTGTCATCGGCATAGGTGGTGATGACAGTGTTGGATTGGGTTAGGATGTCAGCTGTATAAACTGTGTAAAGGATAGGACCTAGGATACTGCCTTGAGGCAGACTGAGTAAAAAGAGATGAATGAGCATTGTTATGATTGACTTTGAAGTATCTGTCAGTAAGGTAGGAACTTATAATGAGAAAGTATGTAGGTGGTAGGAATTTACGGAGTTTGTACATTAGTCCCGGATGCCAGACTCTATCAAACGCCTGTTCAACGTCGAGAAAGACTCCCGTGCAGTACATTCCGCGCTCCAGTGCAGAGGAGACTACATCTACCACACGATGCCATTGCTGAACAGTGGAGTGGGATGTGCGGAATCCAAATTGGTGATATGGGATAATGTGTGAGTCTAGGATGGGATACAGGCGTTCTAAGATGAGTTTTTCCAGGATTTTGCCCATAATGGGTAAAAGAGATATAGGACGGTAAGAAGATGGGTGTTCTGGCGGCTTTATGGGTTTAGGTGTCATTTTGACAATGGATAGTTTCCAAGAGTCAGGAAAATATGTGGTTCGGAGTACAGCATTATATATATATATATATATATAGGTTAAGAACAGTTAGGATCTGAGATGTGATTAGGTCATGGCCAGGAGCTTTGCGGGAAGGTAATCTATGAATGATATTGGATATTTTTGATTCAATTGGAGTGGGATTCTGCTTCAATAAACTCAAGGTGGGTTGGATTAAGGATATCTGGGTGTGGATTAAATGTTTTTGAGAGGTGCTGAGCAAATATTTGAGATTTTTCTTCGTCAGATCTGGACCAGGTTTGAGTTTCAATAATAAGTGGGTGGTTAAAATCTTTGAATTCAAGGACCTTTTTAGTGGTCAACCATAGTGATTTGTCAGAAATAGTAAGTTTTTCTGTCATGTTAAGTAAATTTTGAACTTTTTACTTTCTAATTTCAGCTTTTAGTTGGTTAGTTAATTTGTTGTAATATGTCTTATCTGATGGGTATCTAGTCCTGTGCCACTTCATTTTCCAGGTCTTTACGAAATTTGTCCCAGTTTACTCGTCCTGTAATCAGTGTAGGAGTGGAGGAAGGCTTAGGAGCGAAGGTTGTGTGTAATGAAAGCAGAACTGGAGAATGATCTGAGGAGAGGTCATCCAGGGATTTGATTGAAATTTGGGAGGTGACAAATATGTCCAGGATATCAGGGTGTTTTTTGAGGGATGTTGGCTAATAGGTAGGATTCATAGGAGAGAGGACAGAGTGACTATTGGAAGTTGAGAAAGAAGATAGTATGTTACCAAGGGAGTGATCGACAACTCCATCGTTGGTGTTTAGCATTGTAGTCTCCTCCAGCAATAAAGCGCGATGCGAAGGATTGAAATAAGGATTCAAGTAAGTTGTAGGTAAGAGTATGACCAGGAGGACAGTATACAGCTGAGAATGTTAAATGGAAAGGACGAGTTGAAATGATTACTGATGTTGCTTGAATAGCCTCAGTTGGAGTAGAAGAAATGAGAGAATGGGATAAGGATTTATGGAAAAGAATGCAAGAACTGGCATGGGAAGTGTTGTCGGGGTGGTCTGATCTATAAGTGATATAGTCACGTATGTAGAAATATGAAGAAAAATGTCAAGTTCGTCTCTGTGGTTGTGTAGTCCGTTATTATTCCATAAAAGAACAACTAGGAGCTTTGTGCTCATTGTGGGAGATTAAAGGGAATTTCGGTAAGGATTCTTGTGAGGAGGGTGATTAGTGGCTTGATAATTTCTTGAAGATCTTGCAGAGAAGAGTTTATCTTTAATGTGGAGTTTATTAAGTCGATCGGGTTTTGTTGCTCAGGTGGGTTTTGATCAGGGATTCGTGAGGGACAGCTGTTATGATAAGGAGTTTCTGATGAAGGTTGTACATGTCGTGATGTACTAGGGGCTGGATTATAAATAGATGGAACTTGGGAAAAAGAGTTAATGTGGGCAGTAGGGTGGGAGTAAACCGGAGTTAGCTGTTCAGGAAGTAATTTTACCCGTAGAGGTATCTGATGAAGAGGCATTTGCTGACTTGGAAATTTTGACTGAATGTGGGAGGTGTGAGTCTTGGATTGGGAGTTTTGGGTCTTAGGATTGGAAGTTTGAGACTTAGGTTTGGAAGACTGAGGCGCCTGACGTCGCGGCTGATTCTTCACCATGGTGCCTGAATATAGTTACCTGGAGTCCAGATGGAGATGATATGTTGATGTAGAGGGCTGTTGTGAACGACGTGATGCCATCTCGTTCGGCAATTCAGAAAACGTTGCGAAATTTTGAAGTTCAGGTACCTGTGCCTGGGTAGGAATCTTCTGTTCATGGTTTTTTAGAGTATCTATAAGAGTGTTGTAAGTCCTTTGCTTATAGATCTTCTTATAGACCATGCAACCCCGATAACCAGCTGGGTGGTCCTCACCACAGAGGGCACATTTTGCTGGTTCATTCAACGGTTTCTGGCAGGTGTCAGAGGCGTGAGGACCGACACATTTGACACACCGCGCCGAATGATGGCAATATGCCTTTGTATGACCTAAGTTTTGGTGCATTGCACGACTATATGTTTCTGTCTTGGTTCTTCAAATTTTACAGTTGAATACAACAGTCTTTTAACTTCAAAGATTTCAGTATTATTCCGGGGTGTTTCTAAATCAATGAAAAATAATGGCAGTGGATATTTGTCGATTTGATGTAAAGCAGATAATATATGTCTTACATTGTGGCTGATATCTTCAAGATCTTCTTTTATAGCGGTAGTAGGAGT